TCAATCGCTGGCGATGAAAACAGTGTTTCAAAGGATTTAGAAAAAATCATTGATTATTCAGAATATCTTGGACTTGAACTAAATTTTGAAAAATGCGAGTTGATTACTCTTTCAACTCCGAATAATATTTCGAAATCCATTTTGAAATTGGCTCCTGGCATAAGAATTTTGGAAAAGTCTAAATGGAGTCTTCTGGGTGCTCCTCTCTCTAAAGATTCACTTTCAGAACATCTTCGAGAAAAACGAGAATCACTCAAATTACTGACCACCAGATTGAATGAACTTCCAAAACACGTTGCATTTTTTCTTTTGAAAAATTGTTTGGCGATTCCAAAACTCATGTACGCCCTCAGATGTTCCTCCACTTGGTCAAGTCAGTTAGAGCTTGAAGAATTTGATAATTTACTCCGCCACACGACGGAATATGTTACAAACAATCATTTCAATAATGATTCATGGCTCCAAGCAACTCTTCCTGTAAACCTTGGCGGATTAGGGCTACGTTCGGCTTCTTCCTTAGCTTTACCAGCGTTTCTGTCATCAGTCAATAGTGTTTCCGATCTTATCGATTCCATCCTTCCTTCCATATTTATCAATATCAAAGACGTTTTTTATTCTGAAGGTGAATCACTTTGGCAAGCCGCAACTAATATTGCTCCTCCTACATATAAAAAAATACAAAGTGTATGGGACCGACCTCTTCTGAACATTATAACTGATAAACTTCTGAAATCTACAAGTGTATACGATAAGGCTCGTCTGGAAGCAGCAATGATCAAGGCTGAATGCTTTACCTGTTGCATCTCTTGGAACACTATTCGACGATGAATCTTTCAGAATAGCAGTAGGACTTAGGATGCGTTCATCTATTTGTGTTTCTCATACTTGTGTTTGCGGTAGTATAGTTGATGAGAAAGGTACACATGGTTTGAGTTGCAGGAGAAGTGCAGGGCGTATATCTCGACATCACCAAGTGAACGACATATTGAAACGAGCTATGTTGTCAGCGGATATTCCTGCAATTCGGGAACCCTTAAGTACCAGTCGAGATGATGGTAAACGACCAGATGGTATGTCTCTCATACCATAGAAATACGGTAAACCTGTGGTATGGGACTTCACTTGCGTTGACACGGTCGCGGCTTCCCATCTAGCCGAAAGTTCCAAGTCTGCTGGAACTGCAGCATTGTCTGGCGACAAATTGAAAAGAAAAAAATACCAAAATCTTGGAAACAAGTATCTGTTTCATCCAGTAGCGGTTGAAACTTTTGGTGTTTATGGCCCGGAGTCTCTGTTATTCGTTCATGAACTTGGAAGAAGAATAGGCCAAGCAACGAAAGATCACCGTTCTAACTCTTTTTTAATAGAAAGAATTAGTATTGCTATTCAACGTGGCAATGCTGCTTCAGTACTTGGAACTATTCCTCCTTCACATAATTTTGATGAGATCATGCATTGCCCTAATTTCAGTACGGAACTGAAACCTCTTCGAAACAAGCCGAGATATGTGGATATTCATCAGTCTCCTATCAAGGTTGAATCACAAGTGATTGATCCACCTTCTTCTTCAGTGGACTCAGGTCATTCTTGCCCCCCAAATATGAGTTGCAGTCCTCGTAGAACTGGTTCCCTTTCAGTGGAAGAGCTTCATGAAGCAAGAGCCGAATCGATCCCTTTACGAAACCCTTCTTCACTTGAAAGGATAGATCGCAGCTTGAAAAATGGTTCTTATAGAGATTCTGTGAAACATGTTCTTCCTTATGAATCAGTAGATAGTTGTCCTGAAAATCTAGAGAAGAAAATTGGATTGGATAATTTAGGAAACACTTGCTACAAGAACGAAGTTTTAATGATGAACGAGAACGGGAATGTTTCCTACTTATTCATCAAACTCAAACACCTGTTCATGCAGCTGCAGTTTCGTAAGAAGGTATCATCTTTCTCTCCAACCGATTTCCTGGAGTCTTTGAAGTCCACTAGATACTCGTTAGGACAACAAGAGGATTGTTCCAAATTCTTGGGGTTCTTGTTGAATACTCTTCGTGAGCAAAACAATAGCAAAATCAATACTCCTGACCGCTCTGGACTGAATGATTCCGTACAGCCCATCTCGTCTTGTGTTTGTAAATCTTTTGCTGGAAAAATCCTCACTTGTTTACTGCGTGGTAAATGTTCAAGAAGTAACGAAAACTTATGTGAATTTCTGGAACTTCATCTAGCTTTTCCTAATATGACTAATAACCAGTGCAAAGCTTATTGTCAAATCATCTGAAAATGGAATTTTTAATAGGTGATGATCGACTGTATTGTCAAACATGCGCCAAACTAACTGACTGTTATAAGGAAACAAGTATAGCCGAGGCACCAGTCAATCTAATAATAACACTGATGATTTTCAAACAAGACTCAACCTCCAACTGAAGCAAGAAACTTTTTGGAAGGTTCGAAATAGATGAACATTTCAACCTAGCAGACCACTATTATAATATTAATGAAGTCATTTTTCACTGTGGTTCTGGCATTGAATTTGGTCAGTATTACGCCTTGGTCAAAGGCGAAACGGACTGGTTTAAATTTGACGATAGTCGTGTCATGAAGTGTTCTGGCGATGCATTGAATTTATTGGAGCCTCTGGAGACACCCCATATTTTGTTTCATAAGAGAGAGGACATTGTTAGATCAAGATCTTCAGATGATGTGGTGCTGCAGGTTTTTCCGGGTTTTCCTGCAGCTGAAAAAGCAAATGCGCCACTGTAATCAATGAAGTCGCCCCGGAGCGCCAATTAATTTTTATTGTTATTTTTATTTAATTTTTATCGTTGTTTTAATACATGTAAATAAATTATTGAATATAATAAATGATTATACAGGAAGAAATAAACACATAAAAAAGAAGGATATCCTCCTTGAAATAAATGATGTCTTGTTAACCAATAATTCGCAAGTTGTAAATGAGTTTGCTACCAGTTTTGCGAAGATAGCGAAAATCGGTCAAGCTACATAGGTCAGAATATGTCACTACCACATACCGTCGCTGATTTCAATGAAAACTCTATTTTCTTCGAGGAAGTGTTGGAACCTGAGATACTAAGGATGATGAATAATTTAAAAAATAAATCATCGAGTGGATTTGATGATATAACAGTGAAAGCTCTGAAATATGTCATCCCAACAGTATCGGGCATTCTAGTGAAGCTCATAAATAAATCAATATTTGAGGGAGTTTTTCCTGAAGTCTGGAAAACTGCAAAGGTTATACCAATACATAAAAAAGGTTTCCAAGTAGATATTGACAACTATCGCCAAATTTAATTATTAAGTGTGCCATCAAAACTACTAGAAAAATAGTTGCAGATAGAATTGTCGTATTCCTTGAAGAATACAAAATCTTATCTGATCAACAACATGGCTTTAGAAAAGCTAGATCGGTTGAAACAGCTATTGCTAGTAAATTTGAGTTCATTTACAATAACATTGATAAGGGAAAGTATGTAGTCTCAATCTTATTTGATCTAGCGAAAGCATTTGATTCAGTAAGAAATGAAATTGTGATCAGTAAATTGTACAACATTGGTATCAGAGGATTCTTACTTGAATGGATTGAGTCATTCTTATCTGACAGAAAAATGGTTGTGACTCTGAATAAAACTGCATCACATATTCAAGATATTATGCTTGATGTACCACAAGGTTCAATGTTAGGACCGCTGCTGTTTTCAATATATATAAATGATCTCCCGAAATATATCAAACATGGTTACACCGTAATGTTCGCATATGACACTACCATATCAGTGTCTGGTAGCACAATAGATGAGTTGGAATTCAATATAAACTCAGTCATGGACGCCATGGTTTCTTGGTGTGACAGAAACCAATTGAAACTGAATGCAAATAAAATAATTCACTTGGGTTTCTCCTTGAGAAAGACATTGAATCTTAAAAACTTCCAACTATCTGATACAGCCAAACTCCTAGGTATGTACTTAGATAAAGCCTTGTCTTGGAGGCCTCACATTGATCATGTGTGTAAAAAATTGAACCAGGCAATATTTGCAATACGCCAGCTCAAAGAGTTGCTTGACTCAGATGGTATCAAGATGGTCTATTATTCTTTGGCCTATTCTCACATGGCTCAAAATATACTAATGTGAGGTACTTCTACTGACGCAAGACGTATATTCATTCTACAAAAAAGAATCATGAGAATCATATTTGACATTACACCGAGATCTAGCTGTAGAGCTTTATTTTCAAAATATAAAATAATAACTTTACCCTGTATCTATATTTATAAAGCTCTGCTTTATGTGAGATACAACATGGTTCATTTCAATCACGAGTCACTCACTCATAATTATGCAACACGAACTAAACACTTGACCATCCCAAAACACAAAACTTCAACATTCAAGGAATCTCTTAAGTATAACGGCATCATACTTTATAATTCATTGCCACAGGAAGTCAAGGACCTACACTTAGTAAGTTTCAAGAACCATATCAAAGAATTATTGACGAACGGGGGTTATTATAGCTTAGATGAGTTCCTGCAAAGGGATGTCTTGATGTAACTTGTTCTCACTGCTCTTCGTTCCCATTTTTATGTTGAACCTTTCAATTATATATAATTATATTATGTTGTTTTATAATAATTTGTCAATGATTTTAAAATTTGCATCAGTATGTCGCTTGTAGTGTTTTGTATAGTGCCTGTTTTATTTGATAGGTATATGTTAGGTATATGTTTATTTATTTATATTTATATAGTTATTTATTGTTATTTTTATTATTGACATGTCTAATATCATAATAATATGAAAGACGAATAAATATAACAACAACAAATCAACTCAGTATGATATTTCGAATGTTCCTCCAATCTATCAGTGGAATAATCAAAATTCGGATCGTTTAATTTTTCATTGATTCGATGGATGTATCAGTTATTCTTTTTTGTTAAGTCGGTTATGATTTTGAAATGCATATATTTTTTCTAGGTCTCCATAGCATGCTCGCTAGGAGTCTTTGGGTCTCAACTAGGTGTGGCTCTCGGATATATTATACCTCCACTCATAGTTAATAACCATAATAGCATAGAAGATATTGAAGCTGGACTACACAACATGTGCTGGTTACTGACTTTATCGATGGCTTCCATAACGATTGCTGTTGTACTCTGTAAGTTCCTAAATTGATGATTGAATATATTATTACATAGGTCAGTTATGCAAGATATAAATCCTAGAGCACGTCGAATTTATTCGTTAAAACGTTATGACCCTTGAAGCATTGCAGAACCTCAAACCCTATGAGCGGGGATATAATCCCCACTTTTTATAGGAATACGGGTCAAATTCGATTCCCTATCCAATATTGGTTTGCTTGAAATAATCGGTCAACCTGTTTAGAAGATATGGAGCTTTGAAATGTCAACAATATGTTTTTCGGAAAAGGTAAGAATCAAATGTATTCAACTTAAAAACTTACCATAATGAAAAGATAATAATACTTTGATCTTGCGATGAGTTAAGTAGAGAATAGATCTGGTTTTTTAAATGGGTCTCTTGTACTTGGTGTATGCCAATATCAGAACCTCCCGCGCCACTTGACCTTAAATGTCTTTGAGAATACGTTTTGACTTTGACTTTTGACTTCTTCTGATTCGACCTTCAGTAATGTTTATGTCAATATAAATTCGCGCCTGAATAAGTGTTTTCCATCCGAAGTTATTTTGATAGAATGTGTCTTTGAACGACCTTGAAAGCCCTTGACAAGGTAACATTTTAGATTATTTCAAAACCTTGGTACCACCTGGTGTTCGTATTGGTTTGGAGGTCAGTAATTTCACTTACATAAATAAAAGAAAATTTCATCATAAAGCAAATAATTTTTCCGCAGGTTGTTCTCTGGTGAAAGTTATTTGTATCGACGTAAACACCAACAAATATAGTCAGTCCTTTTAGTTGATCCTCCTACTGTGAAGACGGCAATTGTAAATGAGAGGAATGAAGGGCAGGTATTGCTTCATTTGGGCGGTGATATCACTAGAACCAGTGCAGACTAGAAGTTCCAGAGTCACATCCAATATTTAGAGATTTATTGACTTCTACCGGTGAAGCTACGGTGTTATCAAATCGCGTCTAGAAACTGAAATGTTTGTGAACATTGTGTAATTACGAGGGTGGTCTGGAAAGTTCCAACCTAAGAAAGATACAACGCATTTTTTCATTTTTTTTTTCTATTTTTCAACGCACTTCTCCCAGGGATGCTTCCATTTCTGTAACCCGTCCAAATAGTACTGAGCGTTTTTCTCTGCAAAATCATTATCCTCCGAGTGCAATTTTTAGATTTGGGAACAAAAATAAGTCGCTTAGGGCTAGACCTGGTGAGTAAGGTGGATGGTCAAGCAGTTCAAATCGGAATTCGTGGGTTTTCGCCATGACAACCGCTGAGGTGTGAGACGATGAGTTGTCTTGGTAAAACAAAATTTTTGTTCTGCAAATGTGTCCGTTTTTCCGTAAGTCCTGTCTTCATGCCAGTTACATCTGTGAGTAAGTGCACACGTGCAACGCCGGAGTCCCGACAGAAACTGAAGTTTTGGTAGTTTTTTACTAATTTCCCATCAAAACAACAGTGAAAGTACCACAATTAATCTTGTGAAGATGAAAATCAGTTTTTAGATCTGAGTTGGTGATAATTTAATAATATCTGGATTCGATTCAGTTGGGACTAAACCATGAAGTTCCTGAAGAAATTAGCCACATCTGGGAAGACAAGTGGATGAAACACAGAAGAAAAACAAACAGAAATTGCATACATTTCTGTTTGTTTTTCTTCTGTGTTTGTATTATTATTACCTGGTGTAGATATTGGTGTGAGTTTTTGTAGGTCTCACTTTTTTGTCTAATAAAAAGTGTCTAATAAAAATATAGTAATCAGTACTATATTTCTTCAGCATTTTTGTTGGTTCCATTCATTGACCAAATGATCGATCCATGTTATCAGCAAACGTAAGCCTTCCATTTCACAAATATTCTCTGTTTTCTTATTAAACTATTTACTCACTGTTTTCAGCTTATTTAACTGGTTGTGATGTTAAATTTGAAAATTTCTGTGAATTTTACACTAATCAAAATCGAACAAAACTTGGACCTTCCGTTGCTATATATGAATATGAATAGAATATTTCAATGTTCGTATGTCTCTGGTAGGATGTTAATTATCCACTTGTCTTCTAATTTCTTCAGGAACTTCATGGTTTAGTCCCAACTGAATCGAATTAAGATATTATTGAATTATCACCAACTCAGATCTAAAAACTGATTTTCATCTTCACAAGACTTTTGAATGTTGTAGAAAGAAGGAATGCCCAAATGTCGTCTGTGTACAGTGTTTGAGTATATTTCACCAAAGCTGTATGTAAAAAAGAAACAACACACTGACAGTTTGAAGTTTATTAAAGGGGAGCTGTTGGAAGATAGGTTGCACTACATCGTTTACTTGAACTATACATTCATGATGAACGGTTGCAGACATTATGTATACGGTAGGGACTTAAGATTCATCACAAAAGGATATGTTAACTATACATCAGAGATATTAAGGAATAAATCGTGACTGATGTTTGAAAATCCGTTGTATCAGTGCTTTTCGATGCCAGAGAATACTTTGATTTACTACCAAAAGACGATTTATATTTGACGAAAATGCATGCATCACTATCGCATTACTGAACGAATGAATTCTTTGCAGAGGTGAAATAGGAAATAGTGTTATAACTGGGTAAGCTGATACTTCAACTGAGATGGAGGACCAAACATAACGGGATGCACAAAAGGGTGAACGCCGACGCGAATCTCTTGTCACATAATGTAATCTTGGTCAGTACTTCTGCAACTTCAGTGAGGCGTGGCTAGGATAAGTTGCTCTGAAACTCAAGACCGGGAGCTTACCTCTGACCGGTTCTAATCGTCTTCATTTTCATCAGGTTGAAAATTTTTCCCTTGTCCTTTCAACTGAGGTTCGCCAGGAGGACGAAAGGTTCAATGAATGAATCTTCAATGAATCACCGAATATTGAGATAGCCACCAAAGCAGTTTTTACAATTAGAACGATACACACCAGAGTCAAAAATGAACCCCTCCCTCACTTCTCGAACTTCTTTGCATGATCTACACATCCATGTATAGAGTTACTTATTTTCAAATTGATTACTTCCTTCCTTTCATTGGAAGATTCTCTCATCCATTTTTTTTGTATCAGATGGAGTAGTAGAAAGCCAAAAACTTTCTTTCCCAAAAAACAAATTGTTGAACTGATAAACAATTAAATAATAAATGAAAAAAATTCTGCCAAACTACTTAAAAGTGTGAATTATGATTTTTAAAAGCAAAATTATTCATTAACTAATTATTTAAACAATCGAAATATAAAAGAATCGATTTTGAACAATTAAAATGAAGCAAAATAGCAAAAATGAATTTTTCAAAAATATTGAATTTCAATATTTGTTCAAAACAAATTAATGAACAATTACGTAAAAAAATCATATCCTATGTTAGTGACTGCCATTGTTTAATGTTTAATATCAATTGAAAAAAAAATTATTAACAATTTTTAGATATTTCATTTTGCAATAGTTATAAAAAATCATAATTAACAAATCAATACATTTTTATGAACTTTCATCGCAGGATCTTATGAAGTATATATCAAAAGGGCTCCACGAAGTTTAAAATTTATAGGCCAATCATCTATACCTTTTATCCCATTATTTATGCCAACGGAGATTGGGAAAAAATTTGTTAGTTAACAATTGAACTACGGAAATAAAAGGAAGTGAAGAGGAGGATATGATAAAACAGCTACAGAAACATATACAAATATTGACGAAAGATAAGGAGGAAAAGGAAAAATACATTACCCAGTTGAAAAAGCGGAATAGAGCGTCTCAATAGAAAGTCAAAGACAACGAACAATAATATCGGATCTCAATGAAGAAATTACGAAACTCACAGAAAATACTAAGATACTACAAAAAAAAGTGAAGAATTCGAGTTGAAACTGATGGAAGCAGAATCCATTATATCAGAAATGAAAGAAACAAAAACAAATATGGTAAATATGATAGAAGTACTCACCGAAGAAAATAATATGGTCTCTACACAATTGGAAGAGGTGAGAAATTACAAAGATTTGATTGCATCCGATATCAAAATACCTTCTCAGTAAGACAAGCAATATGGTGATAAGAGAAATTATAAAGAAAGAAGGAAATTCAATGGGAAGAAAATAACCAAACCTGGAGATAACTTGAGAACGAACACAAAAGGAATCAAAGACCAAGATTTTAATTGTATCAGGACAACGAGGCAAGGATTTAGCCGAAGTAGTGTATAGTATAGTAGGTGACAAATGTATGGTTCAATATATATTGAAACTGAATTGAAATGACAATATACTGATTGAGACTGCTTTGAACAATAGCAAAGACTTTGGTAATAACCATAATGTGATTTTCCTGCCTAGCCGATGCAACAAAGAATTCATTAACGAGTTTTTGTTGAAAATTAAGCATACTCAACATCTCATTATCACAGAACCTTATAGATATGATTACAAACAAGACAATACATATATTTATAGAAAAAATCTGGAGCTTCTTCGAAACATATTCACTCTGGGGTCAAATCAGTGTGTCATTTTCGAATGCAATACTGTTATTTATAGAAACTGTTATGTATTTAATGATTTTGGATTGAATTGAAAAGGGAAATTACTACTAGGAAAGGGTTTAATTCAGTATATTGAGAACCATTATTGCACCTCATTTTTTGCAAAAAAATCTGTAACGTTTACCACACAACATGTAGAGTCCTATTCCCCTACAACTTAGGAGATGATTGTAACTTTCAACGAACGTTGTGAGAAAAATATAAATAATGTTTTTCATGAATACTTTCACACTAAAATTACTTGAGACGGAGAATAAATCCAGTATTAGGTCGTTTGAATCAGAACATGCAAAGAATAATTCATTTAATGTAAAAGTACTTGACGCGGAAGATAACTCCAGCATAAAAATAGCATGGGGGAACAGTTATTCTCGTAAGAAATAAGGTTTTTAGACAATTTCAAAATTTAGACCACATATCTAACCTATCAGTCGAGTTGTCATTTGAATGTTCTGCCATTTCATTTGGCAAGGGCACGGCCATAATATGTTTTTGTAGCTCACCAAACAACAATGTTAATTTATTCCTCGTCTTTATATGTAGCGACTTCAACATTGAGAGTTTAACGAAAAATATTTATACATTAATGCTATGTGACATAATCGAATCTTATTGATTGATATCCCTTTTTGACGAACCAACAAGAATCGGAACTTCAAGCAAGATTGAAACTATTAGTAGGAAGTATAATATTTTGGAAACATTTGTAGGACTAGTTTACTTCTTGGTAATTTTGATCTGCGTATATCAGATCATCATTCACAAAATGTTAATTGGTCAAAAGATGTAAAAATCCATCTACAAATTTTATCAATTCCAATGAAAACGTGAATTTCGAAATAATAATGAACTCTCAAAAGCCGAATTTAAGTCGCATCTTAAGTGTTATTTGGAATTTCTCAATAATGTTGTATCTGTCAACTTTGCCAAAGTAAACGAAGCCTTGGGTAGTTTTTGGGAACATTTTCACTAAAGTTTTGAGGCAGCCTTCCCTAAAGTTTCAACACACAAATTCCAAAAGCATGTCAATTTAAAAGTTAATCTTTCCTCATCATTGAGGCGAAAAATTGATGACATCAAGTATTTGAATCATTTGAGAAAACTCCGAAATTTATAACAGTGCATATAAAATGATCAAGAAAAGTGTTGAAACTGAGATACGTCAGAAAACAATCAATCACAAAAGTTATAGGTGAAAAAATTCAAATCTTTTAATAGGAGGCCATCTAGAGAGCGGAACTGCAATGCCAATGTACGGCCGCCACAGAAAGCATCTCGTGAGTCGAGTGGAAGATTTCTCAAGTGAGGATTATTTTCGGTGAATTTCGAATATCCTCAGACAGTTCCTGGCGAAAATCACATTTCCACTTTTCGATGACCTCATAACCCAAGGATTTGATCTTATTTATTTTAGCAATGGCCATATGATAGCGATGGGTCATTGTTATGGAAGAACAATTTTGGAGAGGAGTATCTCTCTGATGGTCGAAGCACCTTGGACATCCGTGATAAAAACAACCCTGAAACTCGAAAATCTGACTGGTTTAAGAACACCAGCCATCAACTTTGAAATTGCCAATGGCCGCTTCAAAAAAACGACATGCTCGTTGAATTTTTATTTTCCTCTGGCTACCATAGACTGATTATTGTGGCGTCTAAAACCATCATTGGAATACAAACGGAATAGAGAAATGTATTTATCGTGTTAGGAATCACACGTTAAAAGGTAATACCTCGTTAATTCTTATCTCCCACAAGTATCGACTTCTGAGGGTTGTCGTTCGTAGGGGTGCGACAGCTGTTTAACGGAAAGACAGAGTTTAAACAGATTTTTTTTGTATAATTCAGCGTCCATGTAAAAGTATTTGTTTTGAAAGTATTTTTCTTATATATATTTTTTCATTCACCGACCTCATTCGCCCAGTTGGGGTCAGTAAAATCACCTATTGAAAACATACTGATTTATACCAAATTTGTTTCATCTTTTAGTAATGCAGTTACTAGACATAAGGATTAATTAATATTTTGTATTTCACACTTCACTAAATATTTTACGAAATTGTAAATCAGACATGAGCATTCTTCACATTTTGTTAAATATGTTTTTGTAAATTGGCTTTACCGTTAAAAAATAATTAATTAAAAATACAATGTTATTCCGTAGAAAAGTTTTGAACTTTTACACTAACTTTACATAAGAAACAGACCACCACAGATCATTCAGATGACAAGAGGCAAGTTTAAAGTAAACTGAGAGAATATGAAAGTTTTGAATAAACAGATATTTTCACTGAACTGCTACTAGACTAGACTAGAAACACTCAAGATGAAACTTTTCAAAATTTGTCAATTTAACATATTTGCTGGTAACAAAAGGGAAATGTAGATAAAAAAGTTGGTAACAAAATAATACTTTTCACTACATGAATATTTTTCAGTTTTATAAAAATTATAAATTATTTTAAAAATCAGATTATATATAAAAAAATTGACACCTCATTTCAAAATTCCTCAGGTTCATTTAATGTTCCAATCATCTTTTGTAAGTTTTTTGGTCAATCTATATTGAATGTTTTTGTTCAACTGCGAAGAAGATAAAAGAAATTATAATAAACACTCCATAGAAACAAAACTAGACGCAGCACTAGATATTGAAACTGTTTATATGTAAGTATTAGAAGATACATACCTTTGATATTTTTATTAGCAAATATATTTGTTTCATTGTATCACCAGTACACAGTTACTACCAATATGATTTTTGCAAAATATTGCTACTTCTTCGAAACCATATTCAACTAATTATTGTGATTGATTGATGTGGAGATCAACCGAATATGCATAATTGTGCTGGGTGTTTAAGTGGTTGAACTGAACAGTATTTTTAAGGTAATAAAATATGTAGAGTGAACTTTCGACCCTATTCACTTCATATACTCTATTCATTGCATTTTACGATGTGTTATAATGGATTTTCATCAAGTAACGGCCAATTCCATCAACTAATATGAAATTTTTCATTTCAGATTTTCCTAATCGACCGCCTCTTCCGCCTAGTGTAGCTCAAGCAGAATTATGGCAATCTGAAGAAAAGTTCAGTTCCAAAACTTTCTTCTCTTCTTTGAAAGTTATTTTTGTCAACAGGAGCTTCATCATTCTCATGGTGGGGTATGGTGTCAATATCGGCGTTTATTCAGGGGTGTCCACTATATTGAATCAGTTTGTTCTTAATTATTTTGAGGTGAGACTAGTTATTTCGGTAATACCTGACAAAGTGAATAAATGAACTTTTTCAGGATGCACATGAAGATGTAGGAATGATTGGGTTTGTAATGGTGGCTACAGGGCTGGTAGGAGCCATTTTGTTTGGTATATTGTTGGATAAAACTCATAAATACATGTAAGTATCGGTCACTCTTTAAAGTTTTACCTTCAATGTTTTTTCGATTTTCAAGAGCATGATGTTATTTTCTCAATTTCAGGACAATAACTATGGTGATATATATTTCCTCAGTTCTCAGTATGGTTGCTTTTACCTATGCACTGGAATGTCGTTCAAAATTGATGACATATCTGTCATGCTCGTTGGTAGGGTAAGAGATTTCAATTTTTTTTTCATCGATAATGTTCTCAAGTTGATCTGAGATTATGTTTGGGGTGACAGACACCAAGAAAAAAATAATACTATGGAAACGGGGACATGAATTTTCTCTAGGACGGTAAATTTGGCGGAACCGGACACAATGTCACAACCTCTGGTGACTCAATGGGTTTTTTTGATGTTAAAGAATGAAAGAAGTGAAGTAAATTTCAACGCCTGTCGTCCGAATCACATCGTTTTCTTCTGTATATCTCTTGTTCAGGAAAGATTGTGATGTTATGATTTGTTTTCTTCGCTGACTATTAATTGTTTGATAGCGTATTGGAGGAGTTTCTACAATTTATGTTGGTATATCCTCTCTGGAGATTATTCTTGGTTCGTTGAATTCCGGGTAAAATAACTCCACCTTGACCTTGAATGACATCATACGACGATCGAAGCTCGGAAATTCATGCTTCCACATTCAGTTCAGATAACCTAAAGTAGTTGAATAGGTGATGATTATTTGTTGAGTTCCAAAGTGACAGCAAGTTGAATACTTTGAACAGAGAATTGTGTTTTCAAAAAATATTTATTTTATAAATGTACAATTGAAAACGACTTTCTCTATCAAGAGTTACACATAGAATTAATAAAAATGAACGTTAAAATGATGAACATCGCCTCGCAAGTCCAGATAAGGATTTCTTGAAAAACCGGTCAGCAGATCATGTTTCCGTGAGAGCAGCAATCCGTGGGAACGGTCGTTCTATAACTCCTCCCTCCTTAAGTTCAAAAATGACGGAGTAATTTTTGTCTGGAAGGAACCATTTCGATTTCCGGAGTATTATCGTTCTTTTTTGTCTTCCTAGAGCGAAGCCATTTGAGTATGGTATCCCTTTCTTTCTTTTTTCTGATCAATACGATCAGAATCAGTATCAGTATGATCGATCCGAAGATGATTCCGAAGAGCAACGTGTTATCGAATACATCGATCTTTTTCACTGTTGACAACTTTCCTGCCAAGTTGTGGAGCTCGTACATTTTGTCTAAGTTGAGTTTGGAAAAGTTTTTCGTCTCGTAGCCATTCGGGGTTTCCACATTGTTGATTTGGATTTTTGGCAGAATCAGAGGTTTTCCCTTTTGAATTTTCATGTTGTTGAAAAACGTCTTGTGGGTTATTCGGATTTCACATGATTTGGGTATTTTGACGAGTGTGGGGATGTTAACTTCGATATATTGATCAGCTCTGCACTTTGAGAAAATTATTTCTTCTCGTACGGGGATGATCAGCACTTCCTCTTGGGTGATTTGTTCGGCTATGGATTCGCCTTCGTTGATTGGAATGGGTTGGCAATTTGTTGTGATATTGCCTTCAATCAGCTGGGTTGTGCACTGGTCCTGTGGGTAGTAGTCTTCGATACAGAAATATATTTCCTCCAATAATGGACACAGGTTTGATTCGAATTGATTTTTCGAAGCTGCTCGTGCCAAATAGGGATATTTGAGGAGAAAAATATGGTGGTTTTGGATGATGGAGTACAGGTGATAAAACATAAAAATTTCGTTTCTGATAATTGGAACATGAATTGAGAAAATCAATTTCGTGTTCGAAAATGTAACTTGTATGCCAAAGTACGAAAGCGTTGAAGGGTCACACAAAAATATTTTTTTCGATTTGTATAATTCTGACTTTCATCTCAGAATTCTGAGTTGCAAGTCGGAATTCTGACTTGAATCTCAGAATTCTGACTTGCAAGTCAGAATTCTGACTTGTATCTCAGAATTCTGACTTGTATCTCAGAATTCTGACTTGTATCTCAGAATTCTGACTTGTATCTCAGAATTCTG